GTTCTAGAAACTTAAGCTTGATATTACATGCAGGCTATGCAGCTTTTAAAATTATGTCTTTCTGGTTCAAATGCATATTAATGTTACTACATGATGCAACAGTGAGTCATTTAATTTCCTATACATTAGCACATTTTGTGAATATTAATAATTTCTTTTGTATCATCTTGATATATTGTCACTACCTTTCTGGATCTTGTAGAGTTGGCACTCCTTTCTGTGACTCCACTGTATTCAGTGCCATTCTCTCTCTCAATTTCTCTCTATGCCCCTCACATCTCCGCTGATGTGAAAACGTTCCCCTTTCTGCCTCTTCCTTTCTCTTCCTCTCGTCTTATCCACTTCTTTTCAACTCTTTCTCTTTCCCCTCCCTCCTCTTTTGTTTAATCTCCCGCTCCCCGCTTTGTCTTTCTCTCGTCTCACTCTTTATCTCTTCCTCATTTTCTCCCTCCTTTTATTACCCGCCCTCACAGTCTCTCTTGCCTCTTTGTCTTCTTTTTCTCTCCCTCTGTCCCCATATAACATACTGATATGTCATAATCATCGACAAACTGATATGTCACCAGCCATGGGTTTAAATGCAGGGTTTATAAAGGCAAGGACAGACGGCAATTTCAAAATTTTCAAAGTCAAACATATTTGCCAAATCCAACATAATCCCTTATGAGCAAATAAAAGGTGACCGAAAACATGTTCTTGTCAAAAATTATCTTTTCTATTTGATCATGTTCTTGGCTGGATCTTTTGGGGTTTGATACAAGTTCAGGCCAGACTTCTTAGTAACCATAAATGTTTATATTTATTGTTACTTTGTATGTAATAGTAAGGCTATGCATTAAGATACTCCGAGATGTAGAGGGTCCAACATCTTATTGGAACTCCACCACATGACCATTGAGGTCACAATGACATCATTGCTTACAACAGCAACTTATTTACATCATTGTCAAAGCCTATCCCCAAAATACTTTTTCAGTTTCCAACCAAAGATGCTTTAGACATGGAAACATAGAAAATAGGAGCAGGAGTAGAACATTTGGCCTTCCCAGCCTGCTCCATCATTCAACATGATCATCACTAATCATCCAACTCAGTACCCTGTTCCCACCTTCTCCCCAAATCCTCTTCGATCTCTTTAGCGCCGAGAACAACTCTAATTCCTTCTTCAAAAATTCAATGTTTTGGACTCAACTGCTTTCTGTGGCAGAGAATTCGACAGGCTCACAAGACTCCAGGTGAGAATAATTTTCCTCCTCTCAGTCCTAAAAGGCCTGTATCCTTAGTCTGTGTGTCCTGGTTCTAGACTCTCCGGTCATTGAGAATGACTCTGTCTAGTAATAGAGTCATAGGGTTATACAGCACAGAAACAGACCCTTCAGTCCAACTCATCTGTGCCAACCAGATATCTTAAATAAATCTAGCCCCATTTGCCACCATTTGGCCCAAACCCTTCTAAACACTTCCTATTCATATACCCATCCAGATGCCTTTTAAATGTTGTAATAGTACCAGCCTTCACCACCTCCTCTGGCAGCTCATTCCATACACACACCACCCTCTCCATGAAAAAGTTACCTCTTATATCCCTTTTATATCTTTCCCATTTCCTTAAATCTATGCCCTCTAAGTTTGGACTCCTCTATTCTGGGAGAAAGACCTTGACTATTCACCCTATCCATGCCCCTCATGATTTCAAAAACCTTTAAAAGGTCACCCTTTGACCTTTGACACTTCAGGGAAAATAACCCCAGTATATTCAGCCTCTCTCTATAGCTTAAATGCTCCAATGCTGGCAACATACCTGTAAATCTTTTTTGAACACTTTCAAGTTACACAACATGTTTCCTATCGAAGGGAGACCAGAATTGCACACAATATTCCAAAAGTGGCCGAACCAATGTCTTGTACAGCCGCAACATGACCTTCCAACTTCTATGCTCAATGCACTGACCAATAAAGGCAAACATACCAAATGCTTTCTTCACCATCCTGTCTACCTGGTACTCCACTTACAAGGAACTATGAACCTGCAATCTAAGGCCTCTTTGTTCAGCAACTCTCTGCAGGACCTTACCATGTAGTGTATAAGTCCTGCCCTGACTTGCCTTTCCAAAATGCAGCACCTCACATTTATCTAAAGTAAACTCCATCTGCCACTCCTTGGGCCATTAGCCCATCTGATCAGGGTCCCGTTGTACTCTGAGGTAACCTTCTTCACTGTCCACTACATCTCCAATTTTGATGTCACCTGCAAACTTACTAGCTATACCTCCTACGTTCACATCTAAATCATTTATACAAATGACAAAAAGCAGTGGACCCAGCACCGATCCTTGTGGCACACTGCAGGTCACAGGCCTCCAGCCTGAAAAGCAACCCTCCACCACTGCCCTCTGAGTTCTACTTTCGAGCCGGTTCTGTATCCAAATAGCTAGTTCTCCCTGTATTCCATGTGATCTAACATTACTAACCAGTCTACCCTGAGGAACCTTGTTGAATGCCTTGCTGAAGTCCATTTAGATCACGTCCACCACTCTGCCTTCATCAACCCTGTTCGTTACTTCTTCAAAAACCTCAATCAAGTTAGTGAGACACGATTTCCACGCACAAAGTCTATCCCTAATCAGTACTTGCCATTCTAAATACATGTAAACCCCATCCCTCAGGATTCTCTCCAACAACTTGCCCACCACTGAAGTCAGGCTCACCAATTTGTAACAATATCTCAAAGCCCGTAATGCTGAGAGGTCACGTAGCCAATGGGCTGTTGCATCAGGATGAAGACAGATGCTCATTATGAGAGCCATTCTGTGCTTGATAGGATGTGGGGTACTTTTTCTTTTTTGTGGTACCTTCTAGTGAGGAGAATAACTGACAATGAAAGACAACCAGATGGTTATACCATTGAAGAGGAACGAAGGAATATCACGATTTGATTTTTGATAGCAGCACAGAAGCATCGTGAGACCAAAACATTGACTGTTTTTATGAAGGAGATAAATATAGAACATAAGAACATAGGAAATATGAGCAGGAGTACTTTGCCACTCACTAAGATCGTGGCTGATCTTTTCATGGACCCAGCTCACCATAACCCTTAATTCTTTTACTGTTCAAAAATCTATCTATCTTTGCCTTAAAAACATTAAACGAAGCAGCCATAACTGCCTCACTGGGCAGGGAATTCCACAGATTCACAACCCTTTGGGAGAAGAAGTTCCTCCTCAACTCAGCCCTTAATCTGCTTCTCCTTTATAGCTCTTGTGATGAAAGGGATCAAAGGGCATGGAGAGAAAATGGGAACAGTATAATGAGTTGGATGACCAGCCGTGATCACGTTGAATGGTGGCGCAGGCTCGAAGGGCCAAATGGCCTACTCCTGCTCCTATTTTCTATGTTCCTTAGAACAAAAGGAAAAGTCAGAGATTTCTGTCTTTCAGGTAATGTATTTGTTGAATCAGATTCTGATAAAGCTAGTAATAACAATATTTCTCTTGGTTGTTGGCATATTGTGCGTGAAGTACATCCATTCAGCATATTATAAGGAACTGTTTCCTAAATACTGTAGGCAGCTTATTAAAATGGTAACTTTAAAAAGGAATTGATCAGTTGCGGTGAATTGCTTGGATAAAGTTTGAATTCAGTACTTGCTGCAATTTTAGCTGAGGGATTGCCTTAGTAAACTGGATGGATGAAGCCTAACCTGGCTAGCATAGATCTTTAAATTAATCTGAGTACAACTAACAAAGGATTACAGAATGGGTGCAGTACTAAAGGAGGCATTGTTTCTGTGCTGAGTTTCTATAGAGCAACTTATGAATATCACTCCCCTGTCTTCTCCTACACATACATTCTTCCTTTTCAGATAATGATACAATCTCCTCTTATATGTCTCATTTGAATTGTCTCCAACTGTCTATCAGGCAATGCATTCTAAATCCCAAACTTACTGTATGAAAAGAGTTTTCCTCAGGTTGCCATTGTTCCATTTGCCAATTACATTAAAACTGTGCCCTTTCATTTGCAATCCTTCTACCAATGAGAACAGTTTTCCCCACTCTATTCTGTCCAGACCCCTCATGATTGAAAGTTCCTCTATTAAATCTCTGCTTATATATATATATATATATAACTGAAGTAGCGTATATTATGTTCATAAGATGCAACAGTATTTTAATACAAACCTAATAGATCAAACCTAATAGAAGACACTTCACTTGCTGTCTATTCTTTCATAGGATGTGTGCGTCTTTGGCTAGGCCAGTATTTGTTGCCAGTCCCTGATTGTCCTGAATTGTGTGGCTTGCAAGAGCCATTTCAGAGGGCAGTTAAGAGTCAATCACATTGCTTTGAGTCTGGAGTCACAGGTAGATCAGACCAGGTAAGGATGATCGGCTTTCCTTCCCGAAAAGTTGTTCATAAACCAGATGGGTTCTTTTTTGTCATAATCGCTTCATGGTCACTATTGAATGAGTTTTTAATTCCAGGTTGTATTCCTTGAATGGCAGGATTTGAACTCATGTCCCAGAGTATGAGCCTGAGCCTCTGCATTAGGAGTCCAGTGACTACACCAGCACCTCCCTGAGTATAATGGCTAGATTTAAGTCCGAGAGTGTTGATGCAAAGGGGGCGAGTAAGAGTAAACCCTCTCCCCCTGTAAAACATAACCCTTTACTTCCATTGCACTCTGCCTTACATTTGGAATATGTGCCTCATCTCTAATACAGGGTCCCACAGAGCAGAAGGAGTTCATAGTAACTATTCCCTTTTTCCCCGAAATAATAGGTTTTATCGATTAAAATGTGCAAATAAAGGAATTACACGAACAATTCAATGTGACTGTAACAGGATCTACAAGCTCATTCAACAGATCACAGCAACCACTATGTCTGTCTGCTCCCTGGACAATAGCTAGGAGGCGGGATTAGTTTGCACTACAGTGTTACCAGGGTAACAGTCGAACACATTGCAGTGACTCTGGGAATCGAGGGGTGGAGGTAAAAAGATTCAAATACTGACAGGCCACCGAGAGTTCGCAGACCCAGAGCTTGAAAACATTTGGGATAAATTCCATGAGTTTAACACAGTGTTCTGTCATGTCTGACCTTTGAAGAAGGTAGGAAATTTACAGTTCTTTATTCATTCACAGGATGAGGGCATCATTTATTGCCCATCTCTAATTGGCTAGGCAGCATTTATTGCCCATCTCTAATTGCTCAGAGGGCAGTTTTAGAGTCAACCACATTGCTGTGGGTCTGGACCCTCATGTAGGCCAGAGCAGGTAAGGATGGCAGTTCCCTTCCCTAAAGGGGCATTAGTGAGCCAGATGGGTTTTTCCAACAATCAACAATGGATTCGCAGTCATCAGTAGACTTTTAATTTCAGGCATTTATTGAATTCAAATTCCACCATCTGCCACGGCAGGATTCGAATCCAGGTCCCCAGAACGTTACCTGGATCTCTGAATTGACTGTCCAGCAATATTACCGCTAGGCCATCACCTCCCCCTGATGGGAGTGTTAGGTGACTGTATCCCTGGAATATTGGAATGTATTTACTGTATAATACAGCAAGCCCTGACTCTTTGGGAATTGCTGTTTGGAGTGCTTGTCCGGGTGGTAATCTTCATTTGGTTCCCCATTGTGATTGGGAACCTGTGCTCTCTGAGGTACTTCAGATCCCAAAGTCCATACACAATTGTCTTGTGGGACACAGGGTTAACTTTTATAGGTGACATCCAGTGGCTGCTGTTTGTGTCTGTCAGGGAGAAGCTTCTGGATCTCCTTGTATCGCATCTGTCCCCTGGATGTTGCTGGAAATTCTAGTGGAAATTTCAGCTTCCCTGGTCCATTAACTTACCCGCTTCTGACTTTCTGGTGAGGAATCAGTCCAATGCACTTTGACGTTAATGTAAATGGCATCTGGCATGATGATACGTTTACATTAATTTAAATGCAAAACTACCGCCAACAAGTGATCGTCCAATCTGCATGGCTAGGTTATAGAAGGCTTTTGTAAAAAAAACGGTGTATAGATAAGTGGGATAACAAGGTGTAGAGCTGGATGAACACAGCAGGCCAAGCAGAGGGGCAGGAAGGCTGACGTTTCGGGCCTAGACCCTTCTTCAGAAAAATCACACAAAAAAAAGCTTCCTGCTCCTCTGATGCTGCTGGGCCTGCTGTGTTCATCCAGCGCTACACCTTGTTATCTCAGATTCTCCAGCATCTGCAGTTCCTACTGTCTCTGTATAGATAAGTGAATGGGATTTCACTATTCAAGTGCTGACACTTTAAGGCTGTATCCAATGATGTGTACAGGAGGAACACTGTTCAGGATGTGGGGTTCTACACGTCCATCTCTCAGTGTGTCAGCTAGGCTAGCTCAGAGAGAGAGAGACAGAGAGAGAGAGAGAGATAACGCTACAGTCTGAACTGCTGCTCTGCTCACTGACAAGCAGCCTCACTCTCCACATTGAGCTACACCACAGCTCAGTGGTTAGCACTGCTGCCTCACAGCGCCAAAGACCTGGGTTTGATTCCATACTCGGGTCACTGTCTGTGTGAGGTTTGTACGTTCTCCCTGTGTCTGCATGGGTTTCCACCAAGTATTCCGGTTTCCTCCCACAGTCCAAAGATGTGTAGGTTAGGTGAATTGGCCATGCTAAATTGCCCATGATGTCCAGGGATTGTACAGGGTAGGTGGGTTAGCCATGGGAAATGCAAGGTTACAAGGACAGGGTCGAGGGGTGAGTCTGGGTGAGATGCTCTTCAGAGGGTTAGTGTGGACTCAATGAGCTGAATGGCCTGCTTCCCCTTTGTAAGAATTCCCTCCTCTTGTGCCTGGTTAACAGTGTGATAGTATACTTTTCCCTTACTAGGACCTGCCCTGTAGAAATGTGAGTAGTTAGGCAGAGCAGGGTGACTGAAAAGAGGAAAGAAATTGCCGTTTTGGGAAGAAAATCGAGATGAAATAATAGATTTATCGAAATGAGTCTTGCCCTGACATTGTCAGCACAGAATTTGGAAATGCAGTTTGTCTGGAGTGGGGTGAAGGGCTTGAAAGCTACAACTGCCCTTGGCCCTCACCAACTCCACTCTGCTCCCTCTTGTTAGATTGTCCTGGGACAGAATATCAGTGCTGATGTTTGGTTGGAGTGCGGTCCTTAGGTGGGGCTGATGTGGAGATGGTGAGAGGTGGTTCCATTGGTGGGAGGATGGAGGTGTGCTGGACGGGACTGGTGGTAGGACTACATGCCATTGGAAGGGGCGAGTGGTGAGAGGTTGGCTGTGATCAGATCACATTTGGAATATTGTGAGCAGTTTTGGACCCCGTATCTAAGGAAGGATGTTCTAGTATTGGAGGGGGTCCGGAGGAGGTTCACAAGAGTGATCCTGGGATGAACGGCTTGTCATAAGAGGTGCAGTTGAGGACTCTGGGTCTGTACTCGAGGGAATTTAGAAGGATGGGGGGGGATGTCACTGAAACCTACAGAATAGCAAGAGGCCTGGATATAATGGATGTGGTGAAGATCTTTCCACAAGTAGGAGAGACTAGGAACCGAGGGCACAGCCTCAGAGTAAAGGGGCGATCCTTTAGAACTGAGATGAGGAGGAATTTCTTCAGTCAGAGGGTGGTGAATCTGTGGAATTCATTTCTGCAGAGGGCTGTGGAGGCCAAGTCATTGAGTGTCTTTAAGACAGAGATAGAGAGGTTCTTGATTAGGATGGGGATCAAGGGTTACAGGAAGAAAGCAGGAGAACGTGTTTGAGAAAAATATTGGCCATGATCGAATGGCAGAGCATTCAGTGGGCCAAATTGCCGAATTCTAGTCATATATCTTATTTGGTGCATTGGGAATTTGGAGATCTCATGGCTAGGAGACGTCTCGTGAAGATGGCCTCACTGATCTCAAAGGCAGGGCTATCTTACCAGTTTGGGCTGGCTCCTCAAGAGCTAATTGAGCCCAATTGAAGGTGGCCAGCTGCAATTGTTCACTAGGCCCATTCTGCAGTAGGGGGCAGTGCAACCAGCTGGCAATGGCCTCCTGGCCCAGAGGCTTCACCTGCCCACCTGGAGGCCTCTCCTTAGCGGATCTTCTCTCTCTCTCTCACACACACAGCTCAGTAAAGGTCCACTTTCTCATTTAGTGTTTTAAAATAGTTTGGAGGGAGAAAGCCCACCCATTTTTGAAGCATATTTTCCCTTATTTACTCCCTTGCTGTAGCCCCTTCAGATCTGGAAGGTCTCTGATTAGTACCCTGCTCAGCTCCAACAGCTTGCAGGACAACATCCAGGGCATGAAGTGGACAACCCCCTCCATGTAAATTGGCAGCAGTAATAGTGCCACCCCCAACCCCTCAGCAGTGACCCCAGGATGTAGATGATCTGGCTCTGGGGACTTATGAACTCTCTCTCTAATAATTTCCATTGGCCTGGCAATCGCAATTTATTTTCTATTAAAGTTCTTCCCTTTTCACCTCCCCATTCCCAACCATTTCTGGGATGTTTACACTCTCTACAGCGAAGACGGATGCAAAATATCTTCCAGTGCAGGGTAGCCGCATAATTGTCTGCATGCTGTCCATCTCCAGGCATGGGCCAATTACAGATTGGGATCCAAAACATGGACAAATTCTTCCTAGCTTACACCTAAAACACGTTTTGAGTTTAGATCAGCCAATATCTAATTGAATGGCAGAACAATGTCAAAGACTGCATACTCATCCTGTGTTCCTAGACAATATGCTCAATGGATGGAGTAATGTGTTCCTATAGTAACGAAGGATGTTGATTTCCACAATATATTCAGTGACCTATTCGAGAACATCGCAGGCACCGATCTCCAAATGCCAATAGGCTGTGAGAATGAACATCGACGTAGTGGCACGAATACAGCCATCTCGGCAACCAGGGCAGGGCCACAGCTTACAGATCTCAGCGGAGGGAAAGACCATCTACACAGCCTCAGATGGAGGAGCTGCCTGCAGGTAAGCTCTGGGAGCCAAGAAAGGGCACCTTTCTGGGCACTCCGTGTGACTTGGGAGGGGAGACCCAGCAATCTGGCTCAGACCAGAACTCTGCAAAACACAGTGAAGGATCTCTACAGTTCGAAGTGGAAGAGAAATGATTACGTTTTGGCTGTGGAGGCATGGTAAGGCCTTTAAAGGAAAAGTTTAAATAATTAAAAGCTGCGGAGGATAATTCAAAGGGTAAATGTAACCTTTGACTGTAGGATTTCGCACATTGCAGAATGCTGACAAATGGCATTAATTGGGAATGTGGCTTGAGATTTCCAATTCTGGTTGCTCTATTGTAGGAGGGATATTATTAAACTGGAGAGGGCTCAGAAGAGATTTACCAGGATGTTGCTGGGAATGGAGGGCTTGAGTTATAAGGAGAGGTTGGCTAGACTGGGGTTTTTTTTTAACTGGAGTGTAGGGGGTTAAAGGATAACCTTATAGAGGTTTATAAAATCATGAGGTGTCTTTTCCCTAGAGTACGGAATTTCAAGTCTGGGGGGCATATTTTTAAGGTGAGAGGAGAACGATTTAAAAAAGACATGAGGGGCATTTTTTTTGCACAGGGAGTGGTTTGAGTGTGGAATAAACTTCCAGAGGAATGATAGATGTGGGTATAGTTACAACACTTAAAAAAAAATTTGGATACATACATGAATAGGAAAGGTTTGGATGAATATGGGTTAAATGTAGGCAGGTGGAGCTTGTTTAGTTTGGGACTATGGTCGGCATAGACTGGTTGGATCAAAGGGTCTACTTCTGTACTGTATGACTATATGACTTTATGACTCTATTCAAATAGAGTCATAGAGTCATACAGCACAAAAACAGAACCTTTGGTCCAACTCATCCATGCCGACCAGTTTTCCCAAACTAAACTAGTTCCATTTGCCCTTGCTTAGCCCATATTTCTTTAAACCCTTTCTATTTACATATCTGTCCAAATGTCTTTTAAATGTTGTAACTGTACCTGCATCTAACACTCCCTCTGCAAGTTCATTCCGCATATGAACCACCTTCTGTATGTTGTCCCTCAGGTCCCTTTTAAATTTTCGGACCCAAAATGACCCTTCTCTCCTTCAGGAATCACCGTAACTTCCTGTGATATATTTTTGTTCTTTTTAATCCACTATCATTGTTTTGTTCATAGGTAAACTTTAGGAATAGGCAAGCTTAAAATGTAATGTTTCACTCTGAAACAAATATCCATACAATCATTTGTGACCATATGCAATTTTAAAAAAAAGTTATTTTGGAGATTAGAAATTTCAGGTACTGACAAACAAAAAGCAGCTTTTATCCCCCCATAAGTTAGTTTCAGTAGTTTGTAGAGAAAATATTGTGCTGTATCAACTAATGGTAAAATAAGCGATATTGACTGAATCTAACATAATTTAGCATTACCTCTCCCATTAGAATATCACCTAACAGCATTAATGGTAATAGCCACAGCTAATCTTAATTCTCAGTGGAAATATTTACTGCTGTGCAAGATTTTTTAAATTAGTTATTAAAACTACCAGACGTTCTATGGTAATTTTTTACAATATGTTGTAACATTGATAATATATCAAGTTGTATTTGTCAAGGATGCTGATTTTCAGCAGAGGGGCTGCCATTATAGGTGGCATGGTGGCTCAGTGGTTAGCGCTGCTGGATCATAGCACTAGGGACGCGGGTTCAGTTCCAGCTTTGGATGACTGCCTGTGAAGTTTGCACTTTCTCCTTGTGTCTGCATGAGTTTCCTCTGTTTTCGTCCCACAGCTGAAAGATGTGCAGGCTAGGTGGATTGGCCATGCTAAATTGCCCATAGATGTGCAGGCTAGGTGGATTTTCCACGAGAAATGCAGGGTTACAAGGATGGGGTGGGTCTGGGTGGGATGCTCTTTGGAGGGTCAGTGTCGACTTATTTGCTGAATGGCCTGCTTCCATGCTGTAGGGATTCTATGGTTGGAATCCAGGGGGGTTAGGAAAGGAGAACAGGTCTAACATTTTCAGACTGATCATTACTACCTCTTTTTGGCAGGAGTCAATATCATGGTTTGAAAACAACAGCAGTGGGGCCTAGGGCACTACTGAGATTAGGGTCTGGGATCAGCTGGGAGAAAGGGGCTAAGGACAAAGGAGGGAAATCACAGGATCCGTAAACAAGAGGATGGAGTTGGGAACTAGGCAGGGACTGACACAAAGGTCTAAGAATCTAAAGGTGGTAGACGAACATCCTGTTAAGTGGAGCGACAAATTCCAAGTAAACTGCAGATGGGTTTTGACAATTTGGGTGGAGGATTTAGCACTTTGCAGATTAGCTGAGAAAGGGCATTATTTGGGGACACATCAGGATGTTAAAATCTTGTGAAGACTTCAAATTGACACTTGACTCATATCACAAACAAAAATGGAAGCGGCTGGAAAAACCCAGCATCTGTGAAGACAAAACAGAGCTAAGGCGTTGAGTCCAGTGACCCTTCTTCAGAAGGATGTACAGCAGGACCCATCTTTGCTTTCCTGTTTTGGGATATTTTTCTGCATCATTGTTTTCTTCATGGCCTAGTTTTGGGAATGAGACATGTTCAAACCAAATGTTTTCACTTTAAAACAAAGTGAATGTACACAAGGCACTATGGGCAATTTAGCATGGCCAATCCATTTAACCTGCACATCTTTGGAGGAGGAAACTGGAGCACCCAGAGGGAACCCACATAGCCACGGGGTGCATGTGCCAACTCTACACAGACAGTCACCTGAGGGTGGAATTTAACCCTGGTGCTGTGAGGCAGCAGTGCTAACCACTGAGCCGCCATGCTGCCCCAGTCTACCAAAGTAAAACTTGATTGAGACCATATGTGTGCGTAAGATCTAATACGCAGTTAAGCTCATAATGAGTTGCAATTACCAGACAAAAACTGTCAGCTTGGCAGGTACCTTTAATATCATTCAGACACAGATGTATATTTGTTCCAATTTTGTTTAAAACTTAATTTTGGATTTCAGAAATTTTAGATACTGAGAACGAAAAACGCAAATGAAAACCTTTCAAATAGTTAGCCCTTAATAGTTTCTCATTGTTGTTTACCAGGTCCCTTATCATGTATCTCCATTTCCATACCATTTTGATTCTGATTTAAATTTGAACAATTAATGCATTATTAAAATGGTCTGAACACTGAAAGTAAAAGCTGAATATACAGGATGTCTGGCAATTTTTAAATATGAGATAGCAATACAAAAAATATAAAACTCACAATACACGAAAAACTCTGAACAAGAGCATGTTATTTGTGGAATTGACCTTCTCATTTTCACTATCCCTTATCCTGATCTCAGCACCATATTCTGTCCACTAAGAGCCTTTGAATTTGCCTCTACGGTTGCTAATAAAGAGAAAAGTGGCCCTATCTACTTCTGTGAACTCTTACAGCTCCCAATCTACGCATCTGTTCCAATCTTTAGCTCCAAGTTATATTCTCCCCCAATTGTTTCCCTCCCCCATCTGCCTCATGTTCCATTTTGAAGCCTGTGACCCTAGACCTCCTGCAAGAAATGGTGAGGAAGAGTGTTCCTGGATGTCCAGAACCTTACTGTGTCTTCTTGTTCAGATTTCAGGAGATTTTTGACCAGAACGCTTCCACACAGGAAATATTCACCAGGACTGTGCAGCCCCTGCTCAGTGTGTTCACGGAAGGAATGAACACCTGTGTTGTGGTTTTTGGCGAAACCGACTCTGGCAAGTTGTACACGTTGGTTGGAGACAAGAATGATCGATTAGCAATCATACCTTTGACAATCGATTACATCTTTGGTAGGTTACTCAGCACTGAAGAAAAGGCAGATTATTCATCAAACAGAGAATAACTGTGAGACTCTGAGTGCAGAGGCATCTAAGTGTTTCAATTCATGACTCACAAAGAGTTAGTATGCAGGCATATAATTAAGAATGGTGAATGAGATGCTATTCTTTATTATAAAAAGAATTGAGCATAAAAGTAAGGATATTATGCTTTAGTCATACAGGATATTGGTGAGGTCATAGCACAAATACTGACTACAATTTTGGTCTCCTTATTTAAAGAATAAAGTAAATGCATTCGAGGTGTTTCAGAGGAGGTTTACAAGACTGAAACCTGGAATGAGTGGTTTGTATTATGATTGTCTTAGATTGGACAGGCTGGGCTTATTTCCACTAGAGTTTTGAAGAGTGAGAGTGAATTAATCAAGTGTATTAGATCCTGAATGGTTTTGACAAAGCGAACGTGGATCTCACTTTTTCCTCTTGAAGCTGAGCCCAGAAACAGGGTGCATTGTTTTAAAATTAGGGTCCACCCTTTTAGGACAAAGATGAGGAATTTTTTTCTCCCAGAGTGTTGTGCGATTTTGGAACTCCCAGTCTCAGAGGCAGTGGATGTGGGAGGCATAAATTACTTTTAGATCAGTGGTGGATGGATTTGGTAGCTGCCTGAGATTGCAATGGAGGTCATTTCAAGACTGCCTTCCAAATAAAATTAGATAATATCCAAAGGGAAAAGATTTACAAGGCCAAGGAGCAAAGGCAGGGGATTGGGATCAATAGAGCTGTTCTTGTGTATAACTGACATAAGTCAAATATCCTCCTCCTGCGTAGTAATCATTCCATAGTTGTATAATAAAATTACACAAACATTAAAATACCTTTTGTGTGGTAAAACATTCCATGGGGTTTCATACAGGCCATGTCAAGTAAAATTTGGCACCGAGCTCATCAGATGATTGTAGACCAGATGACCAAAGATTTTGTTCAAGAGTTAAGAAGGAAGGAGCATCTTTAAGGAGGAAAGAGCGATGGAATGGCAGAGAGCTTTAGGGTAGGAATTCCCTACAATGTTGGACTCAGGGAGCTGAATGCATGCCTGCCAATGATGGAGTGATTAAAAAGGACGAATATGCAAGAGTTCAGAATTAGAGGATGCGGAGAGGATTGTAGTTTAGAGGAGATGACAGAGAAGGGAAAGGTGAAGCCATTGAGAATCCAATTGTCTAACTTGATATCTGAAGAATAAAAGGGATCTTTTGTCCAGCTGAGGTTAATAAACCTTTAGTACTGTGGCATAAAATTATAGTTTTTGTTACAATACCAGGACCTGAAATCTGGGATCCTTGGGACCAAGGTTGTGCCTGACTTGGGATAGTTTTGGCTTTTTGAGTTGAGCCATTGGGCTGTGTATGTTTTGGGTCAACTCGGGTCAGGTGGGGTCAAGGGTGACTCGGAATGTAGAGTATGAAGAATAACTATTCTGGAACCAAACCACACTAATGCAGGACCTAGCCAAATTGCCCCGATAGATTATCATTTTAAAATTTTAATTAATTGGTAAGTGAGTATGTCAAATGCGTCCAGTTTTTGAAGGAGCCCAATTTTCAAGTACCTGGATTTGAGCTACTCTATCTGTAATTTAAAATTGGCAATTGCCAATCTTCTGTCTTAAAATATACATCTCATTTCCATAAATTGCTGCAAATCTAAACTAAAACTATGCATCTCCTTCTTTCTGTGTCGTGACCCTAGATGCACCATACCTGCAGAAATTACAGGCCACTGCAATGTGGTCTCTTTCAATATCTATGTATGAGATTTACGCTGAGGTGCTGAAGGATTTGTTAGACTCGAATGGGACAGATCCTGTCAACTTAAAGATCATGTGCAATGCACAAGAAGGCACATTTATAAAGGTACAGTCACATCACATTTCCTGTAGGAGGGAATTTGAACATTGCAGGGTCTCAGCAAGGAATTTTACTCACTGGGAAATCCAGAGTTACAATACAAACCTCGGTCTCCCTTTGAATGTAGGTTTCCTTGTAGGATTGTGGATTTACCTGGTAGTCTTGTCATTCATGTCTTGCAATAAAGTGGTGCCTTTTAAAGATGTCAGTACAGGAAAGCAAAAGATTATGGATACAGGCAATTTGAACTAAGAACAGACAATGTGGGAAACCCTCAGCAGATTAGGCATCAGCTGTAGAGAGTGAGAGGGAAAAAAATGCTAATATTTCCAGATGGTCAGACCCAGTAAACAGAAATGTAATAGTTTCGACTATGTCTCCTTTCACTGGCTGTGCACCCACCATTTTCCTACCACTTTAATAAATAATATCAGTGACTGGTGAGTTCAAGTTATCTTAGGGTTTTTATTAAATATGTCTTGAGGGTATTCAAATGCCAAATTTAAATGATTATTAGTGATTTAATCAATTATTGTACCATCAACTGTACTGAATTTTCCACTAAATAGCAGGACACTTATTTCCTACCAGCATGAATAAAGTCATTTTTATGGTGAGAAATTGAAGAGAGAAAATATTGTGGAATGGATACAGTTAGTCATAGATTTCTGAGGACTGAGAATGGAATGTAATAATTTGGTGGAATACGTATTGAGCATTGTGTGTTATATGGTACATATTACAATATTGTTGGCATGGTACATGTTGTGATCATGTCCACTGGGATCATCTGGAATGCCTTGGATACATTCATTGCCACCAATCCTTCTTATTGGTATCAGTGTAATGCCAAGTGAGGAAAGAAGCCCACACTGTGTCTTCCATCAGTAGATAGGGTTGGTCACGATAAACAAAATAGGTTCATTACATAGTACTTAATGGCTAGTTACATTACACTGGAGTTATATGATAGTCTCTTGTGGGACACCAGGCTGTTATGAGTAAGTACACTTTACTGTTAGTTACATGGATCTAAGCACTAGAACATGGTTAGCTCCTTCTGGAAAAAGTGCTTTATATTCTGATGGACTGAGCTTACCTCGTGTTTAACCACTTTGCGTAGTAACTACCTTATACCACACTATGATGTAAGTGAATGAGGATTATACAAAGTAAATGTAATGGGAATGGGGAAAGATTGTTGCTGGGAATTAAGTGGAGTATGTGGCATGTTGTGACTTGTAGCATTCATTCAGGTATTGCAAATGCATATGGTTTGCAGTACGCATCACCAAATACAGTCCACATTTAAAGAAACGATAGAGCCTGCAAAGCAGGTTAGGGGAAGACAAGAGTAAGAGGTTAGGTGGAAGACAGGAGCGATTAAATTAAACTAAATGATGAGGGCAAATAGTGAAAGACAAAAGGGGGTATTAGGGCAAGTAAAGAACAACAGATGGGCCTAGAGGAGATATAAAAGGGAAAATGTGGATTCAATGTCGAATTCTCGAATTTTGGATCATTGGTTCAGTCCTGACTTTATTCATATGTTTGTTTTTGGATGGCAGGTCTTGCTAATGATTCTGGAAATATTATACACTTTTTTTCACACCACAGATCCTGTCAAACCTATTGAGTGTTCCCACACTTTTTGATTTATCATGTACACAGAAGTCTTGACATTACTCTTGGAGTTACTTGCGGACCATTGTTAGTTCTCTTGTACAGCATTTATTTTAACATAGTTTTAAAGGAACATCATACAAAAATGTTAACACAAACACTGTAATTTTATGTGTCGATTCTAATTATTTCATACTGTTATGATTTCGTGTGAGGAATTTACAAAAGCATGTTGTGCTTGTTGTGTTTGAATAGTGTCAGTCATGCCAGAAATTTGAAATTATTGTCATCTTGATGGATTGCTGATACATTCAAGATTATTTCTATAGAAGGGTCTTCTTCTGAAGAAGGATCTAGGCCCGAAACGTCAGCCTTCCTGCTCCTCTGATGCTGCTTGGCCTGCTGTGTTCATCCAGCTCTACACCTTGTTATCTCTTATTTCTATACCTTGTTGGCTTATTAAATATTAAGAAAAGCTGGAAGATTTGTACATGTGTAATTAAAACCATGTTTTGATTAGCAGATGAATCTTAAACATTACGATTTGCTCTAGAACTAGCTGCATTTATAGTCTGCTGGCATTTAGAACACTGAATTTCCTTGTCACTACCTGATTTGTGCTAAGCCTCTTATCTCCATGAACTGTGCTGCTACCTTGGACTCCAGCCTCTGTTCCTCTGACCTAGTGTTCTACCCAACATGAGGTCTGGGTGTCTGTGTTACATTTTTGGGACAGCCCTACTTAGCATTGTTACGTTGAGTTTGCTGCATCTCTGTCTCTACCTTATTGAAGAGTAAGTATCGTCAGGAGTTCCAATAAACTATTTAGTTACATGCTAATATGTGGAAAACTGATTCCTGCTCTCTACATACAGTTCTTACATTCCTCTTAGGATCTCGAATGTGCATAACTGTCACAATCAGCTTGAGTTACACCTTCATGTACATCATTGTCATCAACATACACAGTCCCATTACCCTACACACCCAAGGGTCATTGGTTGGAATTCTAAACTTCTATGCTTTTCCCACCAGTTTCTTCCTTTACAGTGCTGTAGAAACTCCAGGGCTGTCTACACCATTTCACTGGAGGATCCACTAGTCTTCCCTGTTAAAGTTACATCATAGAGCCCTAGCACTTTTATAGTGCATGATAAGGCCATTCAGCCCATCATGTCTAGGCTGATCATCCTATCAGCAACTCTGTATATGTAATCACATTGTAATGTTAGTCACCGATGAGGCAAGGGATAATTTTCCAGCCCCAAGTGTCAAATGTGATGATAAGGAAGTCAGAACTAGTTTGTGCGTTATGGGTCAGCTGTCCAAATAAGCCAATCACTTGGTGCCATTCTCCTGTTTTCTTGCCCACAAACCTACACATTCTTCCTTTTCAGGGAACAGTCTCAATTCCTTTTGAACCCATTATTGAACCTTCCTGCGTCACACACTGAGGCAGTGCATTCCAGAGCTTGACTGCTTGCTGCATGAAGTTCTTTTCTTATATTGCTTACGCTTCTTTCCTTTAAATCTGTAAGATAATATTAAATATAAAATATCAACAGCATGTATCTACTTAACTGTTACAAGTTCTCAATATGGATAGTATCCACACAAAATATACATCAAAAACTCTTCTGACTAGATCATAAGTTATATAGAAAGTACAGAGTAGAAACTGGCTGTTCAGCCCATCTGATCATGCTGGTATTAATGTCCCCCATCTATGCATCCAATATCAATGTAGTTTAATGTTCAGGGTGATGTTCAAGGTTATTTGGAAGACAAATGAACTGATTTCCAATTTGCAAACTTCCAGGATAAGGTTGGAATTTTTGAACACTGGATAATTATTCCAGATCTATGGGTTGTAACCACTGACAATTAAAGAGGTGGTTGTGTAAATGGTTTTCTTGCAGTGAGAGCACTCTGAGGTTGTAGAGAGAGGTTACCATGAGCTTGTGCTTGTGAATGGAACCATCAGTAACCAGTTACACTATAGACATAAATAGACAGGAGCCAGCATTCCTTGAACCAGTTCTAGTTTCAAGAGTGTGTTGACATTGGCAGGCATCGCTGAGGACGTACACTGTTCGCAATAAGATTTAACCCTCATCCTACAATTGAGAGGGCAATGCATCAGAAAAGAGGCAAAGAGACTCAGGGCTGAAAGCACTTATTAGGAAAGTCTGAACTCAGTGAGAGACTGTTTAAAAAAAAGAAGATTAACAATGAGAATTTCTTGGTCCAAAGTAATGTACAAAAGAAGTAAATGCAAAGTGACAATTTTTTTCACACAACCCGTGGTGCGCGCCTGGAACATATTGCTTGGAAGTGCAGTGGAAACAGGCTCATTTGAGTCATTCAAGCAGGCATTGGATGATTATTTAAATATAAATAATGTGCAGACTTAAGGAAGAAGGTAGGAGAAGGGCACTAAGGTCATAGCAAAGTCATTCAGAGAGCAAGTGTTGACACAATGGGCAGAATGGCCTCCTTCCTGTAACAATTCTGTGATTGTTTTTCTTCCTCAAGGGAAGGGAAGGGAAGGTGGAGGGGTGACCCAATAACGTTAGTGTATCATAAATTTAACATATAAAGCACTAAACTGGAACTGTACTTATTGGATTCTCATTAATGGAATTTTGAGGGAGGGGTATGGGCATGAAGCATCATTAACAATTGAGTTTTACCTTTTCTCTGTTTCTTTCTGTAAATGACTCATAGAGTTGTACAGTACCAAAACAGATCCTTCAGTCCAACTCATTTATGCCGACTAGATATCCTAAATTAATCTAGTCCCATTTGCCAGCATTTGACCCATATCCCTCTAAACTCTTCTTATTCATATACCCATCCAGATACTTCATAAATGTTGCCATTATACCAGCCTCCACCACTTCCTCTGGCATCTTATTCCATTCATACACCACTCTCTGCATGAAAAAGTTGACCCTCTCACATTAAACCTATGCCCTCTGCTTTGGACAACCCTACCTCAGGGAGAGGACCTTGGACCCTATCCATGCCCCTCATGATTTTATAAATCTCTATAAGGTCACCCCTCAGCCTCTGATGGTCCACTGAAAATAGCGCCATCGTATTCAGCCTCTCCCTATAAGCTCAAACTCTCCAGCCCTGGCAACATCCTTGTCAATCTTTTCTGAACCCTTTCAAGTTTCAGAACATCCTTCCTATAGCCCTAGTACTGAGTTATTTATGTTTGATCTGGTGACACACCACTGAAAGTTGCCATGTGTTGGTTTTCAGGGATTAACCTGTGTCACTGCCTCTTCAGCAGCTGATGCAATATCCATCTTCCACCAAGGTTGGGCACGGCGCACAGGAGCAAATGTGGACTTTGGACCCGCAGAAAGCCAAGCCACTGTTATCACTCAACTGAACCTACTGGTGGTGAGATGCTAAATTTACTGCCTTCACTACGGTTGCATCAGATACCGTGCCTGAAGCTGAAGAACCTCCCCTCATGTTCCATTGAGCAATGGTGCTGTCATTTCACACATAAGTCATCCATCAATTGTCCATTAGCCAATGGGAAAACATACAATTGCATAATATACCTTTATATCTTGCAGGAAATATTCCTTTCAAAATGGGGTGATAAGAAGGAAGGAGAAAATATAGCTATTGTAATGAATTTAACCCCTAGCTCAACTGTTTCTCTCACATTCATTCTTGATGCCCCCGTCATTAGCAAAAAATCTTAACCTTCCATCTCTCTTATATCGACTCATCTTCCCATTGTTTGATCGAATAAAAAAAACTTCCTCCCTTCGTTTGTGACAGATAGTGCATGGACCATACTCAGTCACCCCACAATTAAAACTCACTAAACAAAATGTCTGCTCGTGCACACAATAGAATGATTGGGCAAGACTTGCTGAACAATTGTAATTATGCTAGTTACAACACTAACAATTTAATCAGTTTAAAACAATCGGTCATGTCTAATGGTGACCACATAATCATGGTCGATTGTCGTAAAAACTCATCTGGTTCACTCCTGGCCTTTCGGGAAGGAAGTCTGCCATCATTATTTGAGCTGGCTGAAAGGTGACTCAAGACCCACAGCAATGTGGTTGACTCTAAATTGCCCTCTGGAGCTAGGGATGGAGGAACAAATGCAAGCTTTGCCAGTGATGTCAGCATTACAAAGGAGAATAAAAAGAAATTATCTGAGCCATTGTCACAATGAAAGCAACAGGAAACTATAAATAATTGAGCAAAATGAAAGGCATGAACATATTACTTTCATTTTTCAGAGAAAGGGTCCCTGTGTGTGAATATATGTTAATGTGAGCAATCCATGTTACAATTATTTTAAATTGGTTAAATTGTTAGGATTATGATCAGCCCAGTTAGAATTCTTGAACAAATGCTGCCCAATCATTCAGTCACATCCATGAGCAGCCATTTTGTTGAAAGTCTGGGCTGACTGAGTGCCTATCACAGGCAACTGAAGGAAGATGTTGTTTTATTTAATCAACCAATCACTTGGAAGATAAGCGTCATAAAAGAGAGTTTTTCCTCATGACAGGGATGTCAAGAATGAATATGAGGGAAATTGTTGAATGCTCAGTTTATTTCATAATAATAGTTATATTGGTAACATTGCTTCTAACCAGCCCATTTTGGAAGGCATGTTTCCTACAAAGTATAATTGTAGAATCCCTACATTGTGGAAGCAGGCCAGTTGGCCCATCGATGCCACACTGACCCTTCCCCCCAAAAAGAACATCCCACCCAAACCCACCCAGTCCCTATAACCCTGCATTTCCCATGGCTAATCCACCTAGCCTGCACAGCCCTGGAGACTATGGGCAATTTAGCATGGCCAATCCACCTAACCTGCACATCTTTGGATTGTGGGAGGAACCTGGAGCACCCAAAGGAAACCCACGCAGACATGGGGAGAATGTGCTAACTCCACACAGATAGTTGCCCGAGGGTGGAACCAAACCTGGGTCCCTGGTGCTGTAAGTGCTACCCACTGAGCCGCTGTACTGCCCAATAAAGCAAGCTTTCTCTCACCATTTTCTCAAGAATGACAGACAATTGATGAATAAAATTTATGGAATGACAGCACCATTGCTTGAATGAATATTAATTCTAAATGTTATTAAATTATCTATGTGCCGTGGTGGAATTCACACTCATGTCATCAGAATATATTATTCTGGGCTTCTGAATTACTAGCCCAGTGACATTACCTCCCCCGATCAGCATTAACTTGTCAACTAATCAGTTCCGAGGAAGGTCACTTAACCCAAAACATAAACTCTGATTTCTCTCCACAGATGCTCCCAGACCTGCTGAGCTTTTCCAGCAATTTCTATTTTTGTCTCTGATTTACAGCATCCACAGTTCTTTTGGGTTTTTTTAAACTAATTAGCACCCTTTTGCTCTATTATATAAATTGTTATGATAATTACAAATTTGGCATTGTTGCATTTGTCCTGTGAGTGCCAGATGAAAAGCTTTGTCAACATGAGTGTTTATTCAGCAATGTCTCCATTTTGGGTCCCTTGAAGCCAAAAGGTGTGCGCTTGAGTATATCTAATACACAGCTGGTTGAACCATCCATCACCAGCTCTGGCTGGATCTCATTCCCCTCTTTCAAAGCCACACACAATTTCACACCACTTCTTAGTGTTGGAGAGCAGCCAGAAAACCTCAGTTTCTTGTCTCAATCATCTCCATGAAGCCCATTTCCTCTGTCCTTTCCAGTCTACCCTCCAACCATAACTCCAATCCTGGCAGGAACCAGGAGGATGGTACAGGCAGTTAAAATGACACCAGTTGCTCACTACTCTCAGGTCTTGTTGCTTCACTGTCATGTCTCAATCTTAGTCTGATCCTTTGAGGAGGCATGTGACAAAGTGTATTGTTGGAAGCCTTTGACTTTTTTTTAAAATATAAATGTTCCTGTTGATCTGTGAAGTCAGCCCTTCTTATAAAAACCCTTCACAGATATCAGCTAACCACAAAATTCATTCACTTTTGTCTGACACTTTCAATGTATATTTGGCTATAAATACTGTAGCAGGACCGTAATGAACTGCACCCAACCAAGTCAAGCCTGCAGATCATTGACCTACCAGGAGCAGAGAAGCTCATAGAGGATAAGAATACCTTACACTTTCAAGAAGGCTCCTTGCTCAACAAGTCACTTCTCGTGTTCAGTCAAGTCGTGAGTAACCTGGCTAACTCCCCCTATCCAGACAGAGTTATTAACTACAGGTAAGGACAGAGAGTGGCTGGAAGTGTTTGTGGGGGACATGATATCATGGAATAACCATGTAAAACGTCTGAGGAATGAATGATATTGTTGTTGTTATGTCCTCGTTCGACTCAGATTGCTGCTTAATATTTACTTATTAGATAGTCCAATTTAACAGGTATTGAAAGATATTGACAGTGGAATCACTTTGTTCTACTAAAGTTGGATCAATATTAACTGCTACTTAACTTTGAAATGGCTATTATGTCTCACAAACATATGATACACAAATGGTCACCAGCTCCGCCAACATAGCAATGGGAATAACGTTTGGATTGTAATTTATTAGTCTGATTGTAATTTGATGGAGCTGTGCTGGCTGTATCCATCAGCTGAAAAACTCAGGGGTGGGGTGAAACTCCCCTTTAAGAGGCTGCTGGCCACTGGGAGGGCTGGTGGGTTTTCAGTCTCAGTAGCACCACTCAAGATGGTGGTCACTGCTGGGATTGCAGCAGCCAGCATCAATGAGGGAGGTCCGAGAATGGAGGGAAGTGGAGCTAGGCCTCATCAGGGCCAGTCAGGCAGGTATTGGTGACGGTGGGAGGGAATTGTTCCTGTGGTCTTTCTGTTGGTGGGGGGGTGATCTTTGCTGCAGAGAGAGAGAGAGACTTGCCTCCTCAAGCTACAGTGTGCCTAACCAGGAGGGATCTCAAAACCCAACCACCCTGAGCCTGTAAGGAGTTCTTCAGGGTATATACTAGGAGGGAGGTCTCCCTGAGTGACAAAGTGCCCATCCACCACCTGATCTTGTAGAATCAGGCCCTTAAGAGGCCATCAATGTTGGCAGTTTTGTTGAATTTCACCCTCAGGATGAGAGAGGGGTCATCAGACACCACCTCCCCCATGATTGGTAGAATAGGATAGAGTGTGGGGCAGTGACAAAC